GTAACTACTGAACCCGTAGTGGAATTTTTGACGGTCATTTTGACGATAGCATTGTCATGGGTACTGTGTAGTAGCCAGGGGCAGGTGGTGGCCAGGGGCAGGTGGTAGCCAGGGGCAGGTGGTAGCCAGGGGCAGGGGCGGGCAAGGACAGGGGCAAGACTTGCTCTAATGTCCTCCCTGTATCCCTGGCAGCAGTGGATGAAGGCCGCCGGGTTGTGGCTGAGGCTGCGCCCCACAGGCTCCTCAGCTCTGCGATACTGTTAACAATTTGTAGCCAAACTCTCTTGCTTCAAATCTTGAGATAACTTAATCTAAATCGAATATGACAAAAACTATGGAAGACTAGAATGAATAATCCATTATCAGCTAGATATAATATTCACTTCGAAACCAAGGCTAAACAATTTATAAAGATTGAAGGTTCAGGAAAGTATGTAAATTTTTGTAAGTTTTATATGATATATTACAGAGAACGACTTAGTCTTGTGTAATGAGAGTACAATAATGATTTTGTCAAGTGACAAGAGATTGATTTGGATTTCTGCATTGTTGACATTCATTGTAAGCTCAGTTTTTATGGGTTGTATATTCATCAGGTTTCTTATGAATATTTACGTACATTATTTTTAAAGAAAATAAGATTGGTGGTGTACGGGCGAGATGTAGCCTTATAGCCCCCTCTTTATAGACGAAAGGCTTTAAACCTAAGAAAGCAAAGATATATGTTACATACATCTGTATCATATTTGAGAAGCAAAACGTAAAGACCTTATAAACGTCTGCGCCCGTCTGACAAGACAGATGGAGAGCGAATGATGGTTAATGTGGTTTCTTCTTTGGGTCAGGTTGCCATAGTGAGACACGACTGGCGAGGGAAAAAAATAATCTTAGATCCGTTATTCGCTTCAGAACGACATAGGTGCACTTCAAAATTATTGAGTTATAGACGACTAGCTGAGGCAGTGGTGAGAGTTCCCCACCCGGACCACTTCCAAGGTAAGCAAGTGGCTACACCACGCTACACCATATGCTACACAACATCCCCCTGTGCTACCTACCTTGTCACATCTCACACTACATCTACCCTGCTAGCATCTCACACTACATCTACCCTGTCACATCTCACACTACATCTACCCTGCTAGCATCTCACACTACATCTACCCTGTCACATCTCACACTACATCTACCCTGTCACATCTCACACTACATCTAGCCTGCTAGCCTCCCACCCCACTCGCTACAATATCTGCACTACCTACACTATCATTGCACGCCCTACTAAATACTAGCTACTTTACCGCTAGATCAGCAGCAGCCTCTCGTAAAACAAACATCTTACACTTCCCTAATTATCATTGACTATGTTCCGTGTGTGTACTCACCTGCGATTACAGGGGTCAAGTCATAGCTTCTGGCCTCGCCTCTTCACTGGTCGCCACTAGATCCACTCTTTCCCTGCTCCATGAGCTTTATCATACCTCTTCTTAAAGCTATGTATGGTACCTGCCTCCACTACCTCGCTTTCCAGACTTTTCCACTTTCTAACAGCTCCTCCCCCCCATCCCTTCTGTCCTCCAGTGTCGTCAGGTCGAGTTCTCTTAACCTCTCCTCGTAGGATATGTCCCTTAGCTCCGGGACTAGTCTCGTTGTAAACTTTTGCACTTTCTCTAGTTTCCTGGCGTGCTTTGCACGTACGTGCGTGTGTGTGTGTGTGTGTGTGTGTGTGTGTGTGTGTGTGTGTGTGTGTAATGTAACCGGCTCTTTTATAGAATGATCCAGTCGACATTAGAGCTGTGTAAGTTAAAATGCACATTACATACCACCCGGCTTCTATGTAAATAAGTGCCTCATATAGCACCTAACTGGTACAGCAAGTACTGTTTAATATTACAGTCAGTTTTGTGTGTGTGTGTGTGTGTGTGTGTGTGTGTGTGTGTGTGTGTGTGTGTGTGTGTGTGTGTGTGTGTGTGTGTGTGTGTGTGTGTGTGTGTGTGTCAGTCCGTCAGTTGTCTGTCTAGACTGAGAGAATTTACAGTTTAACAGTTACTTGCAAAAAAATTACATGTCTTTAGCGGACAAAATCTTGCACCAGCATGTCTTCTGTCACACTGTGATCTGACAGCTCTGAGGCTGACACCGGAGCTATGTGGTTGATGGTTTTGTTATGGTAGACGAGAGAGAAAGAGTGAGTGGTAGGTACGTAGGTAGACGGGTAAGTAGGTAGGAAGACGGTTAAGTATGTAGGAAGATAATTAGTCAGTGTATGGTAATAATACCATTTAGATGCGTATATGTATACATTCGCCATACCCGCTTGGAGACAATTTAGGGTCGGTGCCCACACGCACACGCGCACACACACACACACACACACACACACACACACACACACACACACACACACACACACACACACACACACGAGCCAGGAGCTGAGTTTCGACCCCTGCAACCACAATTAGGTGAGTACACACACTATTATTATTATTATTATTATTATTATTATTATTATTATTATTATTATGTTAATAACAAGCGCTGAAGGGGTAGGGGTCGTTACAACACTTTGAGGAATGGGAGCAATTAGGTTTGATCGTAAGAAGGAATGGATAGCTCCCATTTCACGGATCAAGAACCCCTCACCAGCATCAAATGACGATGGAATACAGTACTGGCAAATTCATAAACGAGTCACACGTGCAACATTTGGGTATCTTTATCACCGAAACGTTTCGCCTAGGTAGAAGACTTCTTCAGTAAAATGCATGAGAAAATAATACTGGAGAAAGTAGAAGTAGTTTTGATGTGATCCTGGGTGGTCAGTCCCTCAGGTTTGAGGGACTGACCACCTCAAGATTACCTCTTCTCTCTCTCTCCAGTGTTGTATTCGCCTGCACTCTACTGGTGAGGTCTATTGCTCAGGCGAAACGTTGCTGCGTTGAAGATAAACAAGTGTTGCAGGTGTGTCTTATGCACCTCTTCCGTGAAGGGTCATCCAGATATAGTAATGTCAGACGATCTAACCTTTAGTGAACACACAAAGTAAATGTTGCCAAGGTTAGGAAGACAAGAGGGCGGATAATGAGTACTCTTAAAACAAGAGAAAATCCGCCAGTAATGGTACTCTTTTAGAGCAACTGTGCTCTCTTTCTTAGAGCACTTCTGTTATCTTACTTAGAGCACTTCTGCTCTTTTGCCCAGAGCACTTGTCCGCCCTCGCTTACACAACTTTCCTGTCCTAACACCTGTCGTTAAGACACGTCAGATACCTGAGCTAGAAAATAATATATAAATTATTTACTGCTCGCAAACATTGGAAGCACCTCAGAGCACTCGAATTTTTTTTTTTTTTATAAAGGAGAAGAAAATTATACAGTGCTCAACACAGAGAAAATGCCAGGTATGTAGTCTACACACCAGCACTGAAGTGAGATATAAGAGACGTCTAAAATATATCCAGAAAATTGCAGAGGCGCACATAGGTATAATTAGATATCACGTACTCTGCATGTCTATTCCTGTCCTTCAAGAATCCTCTTTTTCACTGTTCTGTTCTATCCCAGTGTTTCCCATCCCTTTCCTTGCCATAGATTCTGTGAGAAAAGAAAGATCCACGACTCTTCAGCCTTCTTTCAACAGATATTGGAAAGGTTTACAAGATATAAGTCTTCCAGAGGAGAGTGGATCGGAAGTACAGGAGGTGTCTACCCATCCAGGCTGTGATGGTTGTGTGGGTCTGATGAAGCAGTCACTAGGTAACCCTGATCACAGGCCAGGCTGTGGGAGAATACTCAAACCCCCTTAAGTTGCCTGGCCAGGCCGTCCACCTCCCTGCCTCGGATATAAACAATGCTACGCCAGTGGCTACACTGCATTAACATCAAAATGAGGGAACCTTCAGATGCATTCTGCTCTCACACAAGCATATCCGCTCACAGTCTGGTGTAACATTTACGAAATTCCTTAAATAATGATGCTACATTATTTCATCAATGTGGGAAATTCAGCAGAACTGCGATAATTCTGAACAACTACCCCGTTAGCGGTAATTGTCTAGCATGACACGGGACAACTACCGCCAGAAATGCATTATTTCCTCACACATAAACATTATGTTTTTTTTTTATTAAAGTAATTTCCCCAAGTACGTATTTCAAGTATGCCGGAGGAGCGGTGGAGGAAGGTGCAGTGCTACACACACATGCTCTCGTCTCACACACTGAGTGTCCGTGGTTCGATCCCCGGCACGTGTGGAAACAGTGGGTACGTTTCAAGAAGAGGTACGATAAAGCTCTTGGAGAAGAGATTGGACCTAGTAGAGACCAAGAACCGTGACTAGACCCCTGCAACCAAAAATAGATGAATACACACACACTGGGGCCGGGAGATTCATCACACACATACACACACACACCGGGGCCAGGAGCTATGAATCGACTCCTGCAACCACAGTTAGGTAAGTACACACACACACACACACATACACACACACACACACCACACACACACACACACACACACACACACACACTCACACACACACACACACACATTGCTCCTGGCTCTCACACTCACAGGTCAACAACACAGAACAAGGCAAGGCGGACACTAACATTAATCTTCCCTCTCTGACTTTCTCACGCTTCCTGAAGACACTTGTCAGTAAATCTCAAGCACTTGAATCTTTTATACTAATGATGACCCTTTACCCAACCTCACTTATCTCTCTTGAACAGCTCAGCTCTTACAGAAAATTATACTTCCAGCTGCTGGAAAAAATATATTTCCAGCTGTTGGGAAAATTATATTTCCAGCAGCTGGGAAAAAATAGATTTCCAGCTGTTGAGAAAAATCTAGTTCCGAAAATAATTACAATTATTTTCTGGAAATTTAATTGTCTCAGCTTATAGTTTGGGTTTAAATTCTCTTTTTTTTTTTTTCTTTTTTTTACAAATGTGTTATTAACGTTGTAAACAGTGAATGTAATGTGTACTTACAGAGACCATTGAGGTTCTTGGCGCAGATGGGCAACTTCTTCGACTTCTTGAGTTGTGACGTCATGAGGAGGACGACACCCTTGGTGATGACGCCTGACGTCAGCACAACGCCGAACGTCAGTAAGTACGTAAACACCTGCATCAGGGAGGAACGTCAGTGTGTAAACATTTGTAGCAGGAAGACAACCTCAGTCAGACACACACACACACACACACACACACACACACACACACACACACACACACACACACACACACACACACACACAAGGTTAAGGAAAATCGACCTGACGATACTGGAAGACAGGAGAGTTAGGGAGGGATATGATAACAACATATAAAATACTGAGAGGTATAGACAAGGTGGACAGAGACAGGATGTTCCAGAGATGAGACACAGCAACAAGGGGTCACAGTTAAAAGTTGAAGACTGAGATGAATTACAAGGATGTTAGGAAGCATTTCTTCAGTCACAGAGTTGTCAGGAAGTGGAACAACCTGGGTAGTGATGTAGTGGAGGCAGGATCTATACACAGCTTTAAGAAGAGGTATGATAAAGCTCACCGAGCGGGAAGACTGACTGAGTAGCGGCCAGTTGAAGAGGCGCGGCCAGGAGCTGTGATTCGACCCCCGCAATCACAACTAGGTGAGTACAACTGGGTGAGTACACACACACACACATACACAGCAGCAGCAGCAGCAGCAACAGCAGCAGAGAAGTTTACATGAAGGGACAACAGAAACAACGGGAAGACCAGAGTAAGCTCATGGTTACCAGAACGCATGGAGAGGCCAAAGCCAAGTGTGCTAGAGTATGAAAAAGGTATGAAAGGCAAAGGACCCAGAGTTGAGCCGAAGAGCCAGAAGTGAATATGCAAGGATAAGGAGAGAAACCCAGCGGGAATACGAGAATGACATAGCAACAAGCCAAATCTGACCCAAAGTTGTTATACAGCCACATCAGGAGGAAAACAACAGTCAAAAACCAGGTAATCAGACTGAGGAAAGAGTGAAGGAGGGGAGCTCACAGGGAACGACCAGGAAGAATGTGAAGAGTTCTGCTCGCGGTTCAGGGAGGTATTCACATTGGAAACAGAGAGGCTTCCAGGAAACCGAGATGGTAGGGTGCACCAGCAAGTGTTGGACACACTGCACACAACCGAGGTGAAGAAACTACTAGGGGAACTAGATACCTCGAAGGCGGTGGGCTAAGATAATAACTCTCCTTGGGTCCTGAGTGAGGGAACAGATGCACTGTGTGTCACAAACAACAGTCTTCAATAAATCTATCGAACAGTTAGGCATCTTTATTCCGAAACGTTCCGCCTACACAGTAGGCTTCTTCAGTTGCGTACAGAAAAGTTGGCAGGAGCAGTATAGATGTGAAGACGATGTAATTAGTCCATCACTCTTGAAGACGTAGTTTTGAGGTTGAGAAGAGTTTTGTTTGTTCCATGGTCTGAAACAATTTGAAGATAAAGCGACAGTAAGGAGACTTATATACTGTCAGAAGGACAGGTGTAGTCCAATAGTAGAAGAAAGAATGTATTCATTGAGAGGTCACGCCCTTCTCCAGGCTGAGGGACTGACCACCCCAAAACTACGTCTTTAAGGGTGATGGACTGATTACATCCTCGTCACATATCTACTGCTCCTGCCTACTTTTCTGTACTCGACTGAAGAAGCCTGCTGTATAGGAGAAACGCTTCAGAATAAAGATACCTAACGGTTGCACATGTGTCTTACTTACCAACCTGTCGGTATGGTATATCATTTTGATATTCAAATCTATCGAAACAGAGCAACAGCCTGAGGTGTGAAAGACAGCAAATGTAGTCCCATTTTTTTAAGAAAGATGACAAACAGGCTACACTAAATTACAGACAAGTGTCGCTGACATCTATAATATGTAAAGTTATGGAGAAGATTACCAGGAGACGAGTGGTGGAGCACCTAGAAAGAAATAGACTCATACATGACAACCAACACGGCTTCAGAGAAAGAAGATGCTGCGTCACAAACCCACTGGAGCTCTATGACAAGGTAACAGAAGCAAGACGGGGAAGAGACAGAGGGATGGATAGACTTCATCTTCCAGGACTATAAGAAGGCTTTCGACACAGTACCACTGGTTGAAAAAAAGAGCACGCAAGAATAGGAAGGAAAGTACTGCACTGGATCAGGGAATACCTGACACAAAGGAAACAACGTGTGTATGTACAAGACGAGGTATCAGAGTAGTATATGGGTTCCACATGAGTCAGTCCTAGATCTGGTGCTGTTTCTTGTATATATGTGAATGACATGACGGAAGGGATAGATTCAGAGGTGTCCCTGTTCGCATACGCTGTGAAACTAATGAGGAGAATATAAGCGGACGAGGATCAGGTAAAACTACAAGGGGTTCTGGACAGGCTGCAAGCCTGGTCCGAGATATGGCTCCTGGAATTGAACCCCAGCAAGTGTAAAGTTATGAAGCTTGGAGAAGGACATAGAAGACCGCAGACGGAGTACAGCCTAAGAGGTCAGAGGCTGCAAAACTCACTCAAGGAAAAGGATCTTGGGGTGAGTATCATATCAAGCATATCTCCTGAGGCGTACACCAACCAAATGACTGCTGCAAGCATACGGGTGCCTGGCAAACCTGAGAATAGCATTTCAGCATCTAAGTAAAGAATCATTCACGATTCTATACACCGTGTACGTCAGGCCCATATCTGAGTATGCAGCACCAGTATGGAACCCACACCTGGTCAAACACGTCAAAAAATTAAAGAGAGTGCAAAGGTTTGCAACAAAACTAGTCCCGGAGCTGAGGGGTTTGTCCTACGAGGAGAAGTTAGGGGAACTCAACCTGACAGCACTGAAGGACAGTACTGTCAGGTTGATAACGACATATAAAATGCTGAGAGGAATTGACAAGATGGATAGGGACAGAATGTTTCAGAGATGCGACACAGCAACAAGGGGTCACAACTGGAAGTTGAAAACTCATATGAGTCACAGGGATGTCAGGAAGTACCTCTTCAGTCACAGAGCTGTTAGGAAGTGGAACAGTCTAGACAGTGATGTGGTGGAGGCAGGATCCATATATAACTTTAAGAAGAGGTATGATAAGGCTGTAGGAGCAGGGAGTGAGTGACCTAGTATTGACCAGCGAAGAAGCGGGGTCAGGAGCTATGACTCGATCCCTGAAAACACATATAGATGAGCACACAGATGAGTCACAGGGGTGTTAAGAAATATTTCTCGGCATCGGAGTGGTGACTCGATCATTGCAACCACATACAGGGGAGCATATAAATGAGTACACACACACACACACACACACACACTAAATTAGCAAAAACACTTTCTGATCCTAGAGAATCCTTAAAGGAAACTTAAATATCGCCTCATCGTGTACTGGTTACGTGGGAGGATTACCTTCAGTCGGCACTCTGTTAACAGCAACTAGTCACTTACCTGTAAACAGCACTCTGTTAACCATGACTAGCTAATTACAGTGCAACTGGAATATTCTGTTGCAACTTCAACTAGTCAATTAGCCGAAATTGTCACTGATAACTAGGACTAGCTAATTACAATGCAATTATATTGTAATTACCTAGCTGTAGTTGTTAGCTAGAATTACAACTAGCATTTTACCTGCAGTTGGCATTGTTAACAATTACAACTAGCCAGTTAAATGCAATTAGCACTCTGTTAACAACTACAGCTGATCAACTACACAACGACATGTGTTTCAGTGCGACCAATTCAGCAGTTTTGTAATCATACTGGACAGTGTATGACACGGTACATAGAGACCGCACTTCTGCTATCAAGATAAAAATTCCTTTATATTTGTAAAACAAACGCTGATAAACCCGCATAAGTTAAACCGCGTCGACGTGAGAAGTGATTGCCAGATAGCGTCTTGCTCGGCCTGGTGACCCCACACTGGCCCATGTTGTGACACATTTCTCACAAATGGGTCGCACGGTGCTACGCAACAATTCACAAGCCGCCGCCGCCGTTCGACCGTAACCCACGGTAACTGGAACAGCAAATACCTCCAGCGGGAGTTTAGAGCAAATGTTCTTGACTTCAGCACTCTGTGGCTCGAACCTCAGAGCGCTCTTGCCAGAACCCCAAGGGCCTTAACTTCAGCCAGAACGAGACGGCTGTAACTACTGCTGTTGCAGCAGGGTTCTTGCGCTTAGTTTGGTACTGACACCTAATATCCTTGGATCCACGAGGAGTACTGGTGATAAAAACGAAAAAAGAATAGACGTTGCGGAACACGCTTTTATTGCGACATTGTTTTGTTCTATTTTATTGTTTATCATTACTTGACTGAGCTGTACACAGAGCGAAACGCTATCCTATTAAAAGATTGTTCTACCACCTCTGTAATTCTCTCACCCAAAATCCTTCTGTAACCTATACATTGAAAACTCCCTTTCCCAATTTTTTCCTGTACTCTCTATGTATAAAGGAGTATTTTTTCGTCGTTTCACACACACACATATATATATATAATATATATATATATTATATATATATATATATATATATATATTATATATATATATATGCAAAACAACCACTGTGAAAGAATAGAGAAATTCCAAGCGCTTTCGTGACTACTCACATTATCAAGGAACTATGAAAGTAAAGCATCCAAGGAAGGTATATAAGGGGTCTGGCCAACACCTCACTATCAGATCCCACAACGGTTAAACACCTGACGCGCGCCGGCCCGACTGGACAGGTCCTTTGCACAACCAACAACAAACTATTCTACCCAAGAAAATTTTAAAAATTATTATTTGTCCAGTGTATTATTAAATTCTTCCCAAATTCTATTAATTATAAATGGATCTAATTTATATAAACCAAAGGAAATATTCATATTATTGTCAAAACTGCTTTTTATGAAACAAGATTCAATTATATTCCTGTCGACCATGGACTTGCTTGATACTACTTTCTCAACTTTTTGAAAATCAATTGGATGGTTAAAATCTCTTACATGAATAAATAGAGCATTGGAATCTTGTCCAGTTCTAATGCTATATTTATGTTGTTTTAATCTTAGTTCGAGATTTTTACCAGTTTGACCGTAATAAACTTTATCGCAAATTTTACAAGGAATCTTATAATAAGACACATCCATCAGCATTTTGGGGGGAATTCTTAAATGTGCGTGGATGTAGTGCGGATGACAAGAAACAGATGATTGCTGATGTTATGAATGAAAAGAAGTTGGATGTCCTGGCTCTAAGCGAAACAAAGCTGAAGGGGGTAGGAGAATTTCAGTGGGGGGAAATAAATGGGATTAAATCTGGAGTATCTGAGAGAGTTAGAGCAAAGGAAGGGGTAGCAGTAATGTTAAATGATCAGTTATGGAAGGAGAAAAGAGAATATGAATGTGTAAATTCAAGAATTATGTGGATTAAAGTAAAGGTTGGATGCGAGAAGTGGGTCATAATAAGCGTGTATGCACCTGGAGAAGAGGAGGAATGCAGAGGAGAGAGAGAGATTTTGGGAGATGTTAAGTGAATGTATAGGAGCCTTTGAACCAAGTGAGAGAGTAATTGTGGTAGGGGACCTGAATGCTAAAGTAGGAGAAACTTTTAGAGAGGGTGTGGTAGGTAAGTTTGGGGTGCCAGGTGTAAATGATAATGGGAGCCCTTTGATTGAACTTTGTATAGAAAGGGGTTTAGTTATAGGTAATACATATTTTAAGAAAAAGAGGATAAATAAGTATACACGATATGATGTAGGGCGAAATGACAGTAGTTTGTTGGATTATGTATTGGTAGATAAAAGACTGTTGAGTAGACTTCAGGATGTACATGTTTATAGAGGGGCCACAGATATATCAGATCACTTTCTAGTTGTAGCTACACTGAGAGTAAAAGGTAGATGGGATACAAGGAGAATAGAAGCATCAGGGAAGAGAGAGGTGAAGGTTTATAAAACTAAAAGAGGAGGCAGTTAGGGTAAGATATAAACAGCTATTGGAGGATAGATGGGCTAATGAGAGCATAGGCAATGGGGTCGAAGAGGTATGGGGTAGGTTTAAAAATGTAGTGTTAGAGTGTTCAGCAGAAGTTTGTGGTTACAGGAAAGTGGGTGCAGGAGGGAAGAGGAGTGATTGGTGGAATGATGATGTAAAGAGAGTAGTAAGGGAGAAAAAGTTAGCATATGAGAAGTTTTTACAAAGTAGAAGTGATGCAAGGAGGGAAGAGTATATGGAGAAAAAGAGAGAAGTTAAGAGAGTGGTGAAGCAATGTAAAAAGAGAGCAAATGAGAGAGTGGGTGAGATGTTATCAACAAATTTTGTTGAAAATAAGAAAAAGTTTTGGAGTGAGATTAACAAGTTAAGAAAGCCTAGAGAACAAATGGATTTGTCAGTTAAAAATAGGAGAGGAGAGTTATTAAATGGAGAGTTAGGGTATTGGGAAGATGGAGGGAATATTTTGAGGAGTTGTTAAATGTTGATGAAGATAGGGAAGCTGTGATTTCGTGTATAGGGCAAGGAGAATAACATCTTGTAGGAGTGAGGAAGAGCCAGTTGTGAGTGTGGGGAAAGTTCGTGAGGCAGTAGGTAAAATGAAAGGGGTAAGGCAGCCGGGATTGATGGGATAAAGATAGAAATGTTAAAAGCAGGTGGGGATATAGTTTTGGAGTGGTTGGTGCAATTATTTAATAAATGTATGGAAGAGGGTAAGGTACCTAGGGATTGGCAGAGAGCATGCATAGTTCCTTTGTATAAAGGCAAAGGGGATAAAAGAGAGTGCAAAAATTATAGGGGGATAAGTCTGTTGAGTGTACCTGGTAAAGTGTATGGTAGAGTTATAATTGAAAGAATTAAGAGTAAGACGGAGAATAGGATAGCAGATGAACAAGGAGGCTTTAGGAAAGGTAGGGGGTGTGTGGACCAGGTGTTACAGTGAAACATATAAGTGAACAGTATTTAGATAAGGCTAAAGAGGTCTTTGTGGCATTTATGGATTTGGAAAAGGCGTATGACAGGGTGGATAGGGGGGCAATGTGGCAGATGTTGCAAGTGTATGGTGTAGGAGGTAGGTTACTGAAAGCAGTGAAGAGTTTTTACGAGGATAGTGAGGCTCAAGTTAGAGTATGTAGGAAAGAGGGAAATTTTTTCCCAGTAAAAGTAGGCCTTAGACAAGGATGTGTGATGTCACCGTGGTTGTTTAATATATTTATAGATGGGGTTGTAAGAGAAGTAAATGCGAGGGTCTTGGCAAGAGGCGTGGAGTTAAAAGATAAAGAATCACACACAAAGTGGGAGTTGTCACAGCTGCTCTTTGCTGATGACACTGTGCTCTTGGGAGATTCTGAAGAGAAGTTGCAGAGATTGGTGGATGAATTTGGTAGGGTGTGCAAAAGAAGAAAATTAAAGGTGAATACAGGAAAGAGTAAGGTTATGAGGATAACAAAAAGATTAGGTGATGAAAGATTGAATATCAGATTGGAGGGAGAGAGTATGGAGGAGGTGAACGTATTCAGATATTTGGGAGTGGACGTGTCAGCGGATGGGTCTATGAAAGATGAGGTGAATCATAGAATTGATGAGGGAAAAAGAGTGAGTGGTGCACTTAGGAGTCTGTGGAGACAAAGAACTTTGTCCTTGGAGGCAAAGAGGGGAATGTATGAGAGTATAGTTTTACAACGCTCTTATATGGGTGTGAAGCGTGGGTGATGAATGTTGCAACGAGGAGAAGGCTGGAGGCAGTGGAGATGTCATGTCTGAGGGCAATGTGTGGTGTGAATATAATGCAGAGAATTCGTAGTTTGGAAGTTAGGAGGAGGTGCGGGATTACCAAAACTGTTGTCCAGAGGGCTGAGGAAGGGTTTGTTGAGGTGGTTCGGACATGTAGAGAGAATGGAGCGAAACAGAATGACTTCAAGAGTGTATCAGTCTGTAGTGGAAGGAAGGCGGGGTAGGGGTCGGCCTAGAAGGGTTGGAGGGAGGGGGTAAAGGAGGTTTTGTGTGCGAGGGGTTGGACTTCCAGCAGGCATGCGTGAGCGTGTTTGATAGGAAGTGAATGGAGACAAATGGTTTTTAATACTTGACGTGCTGTTGGAGTGTGAGCAAAGTAACATTTATGAAGGGATTCAGGGAAACCGGCAGGCCGGACTTGAGTCCTGGAGATGGGAAGTACAGTGCCTGCACTCTGAAGGAGGGGTGTTAATGTTGCAGTTTAAAAAACTGTAGTGTAAAGCACCCTTCTGGCAAGACAGTGATGGAGCGAATGATGGTGAAAGTTTTTCTTTTTCGGGCCACCCTGCCTTGGTGGGAATCGGCCAGTGTGATAATAATAAAAAAAAAAATTCTTTATCAAAAGTTTTTTTACTGTATCAAGATTTTTTAATACAACTTTAATATTAATATTGCATATATATATATATATATATATATATATATATATATATATATATTTATATATATATATATATATATATATATATAATATATATATATGTATTTATATATTATACCCAACTTCAAGGTCGACCCTATAGCCATTCCCGTAGCCTAGCATCACACCGTATCCCGATAGGGTTCACTGCTCACCCGTTCCTATGAATTCACAAGATATACAAATTTCAATATTAATATTTATGTACAAGTTGAGGGAGGATACTAACCTTGAGACATTTGATGGTAAACTCCAGAAACTTTTGGCTGTCTTCAGAGAGGGAGCTGGTTGATGGTGGTAGCGTCCGGAACACATCCCATGCCTTCGTCTCCTGCACTGATCGTCGGCTGTGGGGTTAATGCACATAATGTAACTAATTACTTTTACCTTAAGAACATAGGAACAACAGAGTCTACTATGCTCTACCAGGAGCAACACTTGTAAATTTAATGATTGTAGTCATTAACTCTGTATTCCAAGTTATACTCAGTAGGGGAATTATTATGTGGTAAACTAAGAAAGCCACTGGCAACGATACACAAAGGCTACTTACCAAAACTATCGTGCAATAGGCTACAGTAGTGTAAGAGAGAGTGAGACTTCATGTAGCTACTTTCATAGTATATCATTTAGCAGACTACAAGAGCCAAGGGCAATGATGGATGGCACAAATTTCATACACGGAGGCACAGTTCAGCAGACTACACAACACAAAGGCACTGAACGACTGTACGAATGTTCCTTACAAAAACACAGAACAATAAGCTACAAAGAGCCGATGGTACTGATGTATTGTACAAATGGACCTCAAGAGACAATGGAATCGACAGGTTGCACGAGGCTGCCATACAAAAGAAAACAATGTTTTGAAACTTTATGAACTTGAGCAATATTTCGGGTGTGACAAACATTTTTCCGACCAACATAAAATGGGTTTCTCACCATCGTAATCTTGACCGACGTAAACTGCATTGCACGATCATCCAACATAACAACTCTAAAAACGTTAATTACATATATAAGGTGCCAAGTTTAATAGTTCTTTCAACTTTCTCACGCGCGTCACCTGTTTGAGTCACATCATCCGTGACAACTTCAGAATAAGCTGAGCCTTTTTCTTGATCACTCAGTCGTAATAACACGCTAGCAAACAAATGACAGTGGCCTGCGAGTTTCAGGATTCGCTTGCCACGGGTTCAAATCCCAACCGTTCTGTTAATTGTTTGCAATCGTGTTATTACGATTTCGTGAGTCGTAATGGTGGCCGTAAAAGGACTTTAGCTAGAGCACACCACAGCTATGCTGGTGTGGGATTCATCTGTAAGGAAAAATGAATTTGTGGTCACAGTGGTGGCCCATGCTAACATTCTTATGGTGTACAGAAATATACTTAATTGGATTAATCTTGTTAGACTCTCATGGACCAGTAGTTAACGCACTGGCCTGCAAGTTTTAGGACTCTTTTGCTATGATTTCGAATTCATCCTTTTCTTTTTCGTTATAAATATCACATTAGAAATTAGTCGAAGTTATTGCGATTAATTGTAGTGCATTGTGGGAAGACCGAATGACTGAACTATTCTTTTTCTCTATGAATTATAACTTTCATACCGACCATCGTTTTCTAATTTATTCGCTCGTTATACTCTGAATAATATTCACACCATTCGCTGATTTTATACACGACATCTTTACTGTCTTGAGTCTCCGTCTCGCTGCAACATTTACAGACCAAGCCTCACACCCATACAAGTCTTGACAACATCATTTTCTCGTGCATTCGATTTCCTCCATCCAAATACATCGGATTTCTTTATTTATACAGATTCCTAAACACTATTCGCTCGTTATTGTCTTTATCAGTTCTGTTATTTACAGACCCATCTGCTGGCACATTCATACTCCTTATAATCTGACCGTTTGTCTGATTCCTCTTGCTCGTCTCTGTGCCCATTTTTCAATTCATTCTTTTGTATATTCTTACAAACTCCTCCATAAACTGCCGCAACTTTTTTTTCGTGTGTGTGTGTGTGTGTGTGTGTGTGTGTGTGTGTGTGTGTGTGTGTGTGTGTGTGTGTGTGTGTGTGTGTGTGTGTGTGTGTGTGTGTGTGTGTGTTAGCTCCTCCTCCATCCCAGACGTGAGCACAGAGTGTCATGACCCGGAATGGCATCGAGTAAACTTTCTTTTGAATGTTTGAAAAACTGTAAGTCATTAGCAAAGAGCAACTCCCACCGTATATCACAATCATTATTATTTTACGGTCATCCTCTTCCTTACAACCGAATCAACAAAGGTATTAAGCTATCACAGCGGGTTAAAACATCCCTTTGTAAAATCCTCTTTTGCTGGAAAACATCTTCTCTCCGACATATCCTAATCATCGCGTCACTTGGCTTATTATTATTAGCAGTAGCAGTAGTATTAGCAGTAGCAGTAGTATTAGCAGTAGCAGTAGTATTAGCAGTAGCAGTAGTATTAGCAGTAGCAGTAGTATTAGCAGTAGCAGTAGTATTAGCAGTAGCAGTAGTATTAGCAGTAGCAGTAGTATTAGCAGTAGCAGTAGTATTAGCAGTAGCAGTAGTATTAGCAGTAGTAGTAGTATTAGCAGTAGTAGTAGTATTAGCAGTAGTAGTAGTATTATACCAGTTAGAGTGCTGATCGACATAACTTATGTGTCAGCAGGTTCAAGTAGTAACAATAACAACACAGGTTATGGATACCAGCAGACCTTCCCACCACTAACACACACACCACTGACACCCCATGACACAGACACTGGCAGAGTTTCCCACCACTGACACACTTCATTGACGCCCCCTGACACGCACGACCACCCGTCAGTGACACGGTCCGTGTGCTCCACGCTTCTCAAGCTCCACCGTGTCACTCTCCAAGGGAAGAGGATACCTTGATATTGGTAAAAGGCTTTCAATTCAAGAAACTGGAGCTACTCTCGGTTTGTTCAGATCAATCCTGAATGCATCTCATTCCCCAGGCCCTGTATGACCCCTATGAGGTTAGCGCTCCCCATAAATGTCATAATAATAATAATAATAATAATAATAATAATAATAATAATAATAATAATAATATATGAGTAATCATTAACTTACGTAACCCAGAGTTTTGTCTGAGAATCACTCAGCACTTCAGAGATGCACAACTGGGTATATAATGTCGTGCCGAATAGGTAAAACTGGTCATTTAGCAAGAACTTATTTAAAATCAAGACCTTTCTAAAAATTTTCTTTTATACGTTTCAAGATATATTTTTTATTTATGTAATGTAAAAATTAATTATTTTGTACCAAAAGAACCTGAGAAAACTTACCTAACCTTATTACAACAAGGGCAATTTAATTTAACCTAATCCAACTAAATATATTTTAGATAAGTTTACAATAATTTAATAATAAAGAAACACAATGAAATACATTTTTCTTTAGGTTCAGAATGATTTTTGCGAAATTAGTGCATACACAAATTTTCGCTTGCCTTATTCGGCAAGAAGAGTGTTGCTATTTAAACCAAAATCTCAAGTTTTACCTATTCGCCACGACATAATATATATATATATATATATATATATATATATATATATATATATATATATATATATATATATATATATATATATATATATATATATATATATATGCACTGAGAAAAATACTTTTCTCGGCTTATACAGTATACACTTCCCTTTAGCCAGGGAGCAAAAGGCTGAGACAACAGCTTATGTCTAGGACCACCTCATCCTGTGTTTTTCAAAAACAAACAAATACGAATCGAAGGAGGATATAGGAAATTAATATTTTTTTTAACAGTGTTCTTTAAACCACAGGAGGCGGCTGGCAGTCCCAGACACTGTCCTGGATGATCCTCACACACGGGTCGAGTCTTTACTTTAGTCCCTGTATTCTATTATTTCATATTATCCAGTTAACCCAAAGATCAGTGCTAACTACTTCTGGTAGTCGGAGTACCTAAAGGAGACAGACGTGCGACGAGGCTATTGAAAACGTAATGACGTAATAATTACTGGTAGTGCTTTAACCGCTGTTTGTATTACAAGGAGACTTACACCTCCTCTAAGCTGCAGCAAATACATTCGAGAATGGAATATATTTGTGTCAGGTTCTGAGAGAGGTTGTTATAATGAGGCCATTACTGAGGGAACGACATGTGGTCAGTGCTAGCATCTGTCACCAGGCGGCTCTTCACTCCAACTTTCACTGCCTGTCTTCTAAACTCATATTCAAATATTCCGAATAAAAAAAATGACATCCCAAATTGCAGTTAAGAAGTACCGGCGCAGCTTGTGGAAGCTGTGCAACTCTTGCACTTGACGACACAGATCTTGCCGCTGTGTGTTGATGATGTTAGTGTGTCATGGTGGTGATGTAGGAGAGTATCACTGGCACCATAGCAGATCTCTGCTTCCCAGTCAGGTTCCTGCTGTTCCACCTCTCCTACCACCCCACCCGTCTTGCTTCCATCTGGGACGTACCTGTGATTCGTCCTTCCTTACACTAAGTCGAGAGTCTCCCCAGTTGCTTATCAATCTGGTTTGAGTGGCAGATAGCGGCTACCAGTGCAGTAAAAGAACACAACATAAAGATCAAGAATTTCTCTGCATATCCTCTCCTCACGATGCTTGTCTGTCACGTGACTATGTCAACTTTTTTTTCAACCCAGGCTTGAAAATGATACTACATTATTTGTCAAATTCTTCCTTTTTAAAACTCTTCAAATATATGAGGTAGAAGATTCAACTCAAATAAAACCCATCCTCACACCATAAGTCAAAACGTTGTTTGTGTGTGTGTATGTGTATGTATATATATATATATATATATATATATATATATATATAATATATATTATATATATATAAAATATTATATTTTATATATAATAAAAATGAGCGGTGCACTGAGGAGACAAAGAACTTTGTCCATGAAAGCAAAGAGGGGAATGTATGAAAGTATAGTTATACCAACACTCTTTGATGGTGAGGCATGGGTGGTTAATGTTGCAACAAGGAGAAGGCTGGAGGCAGTGGAGATGTCGTGTCTGAGGGCATTGTGTAGTGTGAATATAATGCAGAGAATCCGTAGTTTGGAGATTAGAAGATGCAGAATTACCAAAAATATTATCCAGAGGGCTGAGGAGGGGTTATTGAAATGGTTTGGACATGTAGAGAGGGTAGAACGTAATAGAATGACTTCGAGAGTGTATAAATCTGTAGTCGAGGGAAGGCGGGGTAGGGGTCAGCCTAGGATAGGCTGGAGAGAGTAAAAAAAGGTTTTATGTGCGAGGGGCTTGGACTTCCAGCAAGCGCGC